GGACGTGATTACCGGCTCTTTGACTCATGTTTTCAACACACAGATTCATACCAAACGTTGTAGATACCTATCATATTATTAATTTATTAATTATTAATAAATAATTATTTCATGAGCATTGCAATGTAATTAATTAATGTTTTCTAAAAATAGCAGTGTTATACATTATAATCTTTTTAGATTATGTATGTAGAGATAAAAAAAAATGGAAAAATTAACAATTTTACTGAAGATGTAAAATTTAGCAAGATACAGATCTGAAAATAATTTCAAAGTTAAAATCATAAAAATAATTATGTTAAAACGCTCTAGTTGCTTGAATGACAAAATTTTTTGCAGCATCGCTCATCATGTTTGAATTTTCTACATAATTATTGTGATAGTCTAACAAAATTATTTTCATATATTTATCTAAATTTATAGACTTCAAGAAAATCAATTAAAGAAAAGTAAAAATCAAGAAACTTTATACATTTAGAATTTCGTGTAAATTTTACATTATACATTTATTATTAATTATTTTATTTTGTTTTTAATTATTTTTTAATTAACGTTTCTTAATTAACCTTTACTTAGCAATGCGGTTTTAAAAAAGTGATTCCATACATTCCTGAACAATATAATTTTTGAACAATATAATTTCGTGATTTGAGACGTAATTTTATTTTTCATGAAACCACGTTGCGTCATATCGCAACAAAGCATATTATAAACCGAGCGAGCCGCCAACTAATGGCAAAGCTGGGGAATATGATGACGTAACACTCGCATGTTCGCTATCTCAAATGTGCACCACCTGCGCTCCGAGTTCGATTATCCTCTACAAACCGCAGAGACACCCCGAGAACGTTCAATAACCACGTACCAATCGATCGTGCAACATCCATCTAACACGAATGCCATGATCTTCAGATCTTTTGAGCGCAATGTATGAAGTATGAGATTTAACGATGTCTAAATTATAATACTAATTGCAACTAATGATGTTTAAAATAAATAAACAAATAGAAATTCATTCGCGAAATTGGCTATCAGCTCAATATAAATTTACATTATTTTCTCGAGCAAAAAAAATTTATAAACTTGTAAATTTTTTAATTTGTAAGTTTTTTTACGCGAATTAGTTTGACAAATAATTACGAATTAATTTAACGATTATCAGGTACATATTAAACGTAACGTTTTACATAAACACAAATTTTACATGATATTGTAAATGATGATATATATTTAGTTTGTTGAAATTACTGATATTATACAGTCTATATAAAAAGGAAGTCAAAAAATATTAGGTGTCTATTAATAATTTATAATCTTCGCGTTTATATTCATACAAAATACAGGATTATAAGATAATAATATTTTCTCATTTTTTCTCTTATGCATATATTTTTCATACTAACAATGATTTTGTGAAAACAAAAATAAATTTTAAATTTTAAATAAACCTTAATATTTTTACTAAGTTTTTAAATTATTTTGATGTGATTTAGTTGCGTTCACTAGCAATAAACATAGTGTCTATTTTTTATTCAAATAAATTTAATGTTTCTTTAAACGTACCTACCTATTTTAAACTCCTCTAACTTATTAATTTTATTTAAAAAGAGGAATATATTTATAACAGATAATGGCTGTTGCTGCTAAAACGTTTAAGATGCAGACCCTAGAATATTATCCGCAGTTTCTAAGCGATTATCGTTAAAAGTTTAAACATCCAGGTAATTAAAGTGCAGAAAAATGAGTCAGAAATCTGGGACGTTAAGAGAACGAGCTACGTAAATACGTTTTCGTTCAATATGTCGGTATCCTTCAATTATCGGAAACGATGAACACAAGAAACGAGGACATCGTAGGTGGATGATAATTAATTAACCGCTTCCTCTCGTTCCAGCGGTTCTTGACCGCGCAGTATCCGCTAAAGTAATAAGCTGCGAGTATCGTTTATTATTTCCAATTAACATGTGGTTAAAAAATTTTTTTTTTAAATTGGTCGCATAAGATATCTGGTCGAATATTAAAGTAGATTATATAGAGGCATAATATGTTCGCTATTTTCATTAAATACTTATACTGTTGTAACATTTAAATTAGATTGTTCCACCTTTCGGATTCAACTTCAACTTTTAATTTTTTACTCTTTTGTTCATTTAGAAAATAAATTACCACCTAGTTTATCCAAAGATAGAACAATCTATTTTTAATCGTATAAGTTAAATATGATTAACATATGATATAAATAATTCTATTAAACACCGCATATGCGCGAATTATATTTCATCAATAATATTTCCCAATAATTATTGTACGAGAATATTGCACGCAAACGATACTGTAATCTTTTATCTATTATTAGATTTAATGATATTACGATGCATATTATGCGTCTCGTGGAAGTTTTGCAATAACGTCGTGAGAGCTTAATTACATCATAAGTTTGCACGTTCATCAATTATGAAAAGTTTAATTATGCATAATAGCGATTTGTGAAGTACATTACAAGATAAAAATAATATTTGTGTATTTTGAAATATTATGCACGCAGAAATCTCTAGAAAAAATAATTTTATTAAAGTTATCTAAGAGAGTACAACTTTTTTCGCGAGCGTTTCGGAGATTGTTTCATTTTTACATTTTCTTATGTATTTTTTCTCATAGAAATCGAGTTATCATAATAATGCAATATTTAACGAGAAATTGTTACATTAAATTGAGATTAATAAAATTCTCATTCACATCGTTACGAAATCATTGCCAGTTATGGTTATTTAAAAACTTTATTTACAAAGTTAAATTAACAACTATGAATTAATTTTTAAATGATTGGAGCATAACTGACAGCGATTTCGTATAACAATATAAATAAAAATTTTATTCTTTATTTCAATACTAATTTTTTCGTGAGTGTAATGTCATTATAATTTTTTGTTCAATTTTTTTTCCATAAAGAAAACTACATAAGAAAATGCAGAAATAAATCCTTGAATGATCGCAACAAGTGAAAGTTGTACCTTCTTTTAACTAAATAATTCTGGAAATAATTTGATTAAACCATTAAAATAATTATATAAGAAACTCAAGTGCAATGAGCAATGCTGCAAAAAAACTTTGATATTCTAGCAATTAGTTTCAATGTCTTACATAATTATTTTGATAATCCAATATTGCAACGTTATTTTCAAATCTGTATTTAAATATTTCAGCAAAATTGTTCTTTTCATGTAGGAGAAGAATTCGGTTTACCCTGCTATACAAAAAGCGGAATCAATTCTACTCCGTTTTATAGTGCATTCTTCAGTTTACGCTTGATCGCGCAAAAACACGAACATTGTATAACTTATAAGACGGATGTTCCTAAAGCAAACAGTGTATGTACTTTTCTCTGACGGACCGAGAAAAGGGAGGAAGTTCGGGGTGAAAAGAGTTCGGGATAAAGAGCAAAATGTATATGCATTCACGTGCGCCATAAATAAAACGGTGACCCTCAGTACGATCGAGTAGACCCGTGCGGTTGTCTTGAATGAAACATTCTCAAAATGAAAAATGTGTGTTCCACTACGATCTCTTCTCGATGGGAAAACGATTTTCTCCTTCGTTGCAACGATGTACATTTCGACGTACATACGTCCGGGTAACTGAACGTTTGCCATAACCTTGGAAAATTACAGGGAATAACCCGCGTTTATCGAGATTATCAAAATGCCTGAGCGTAAATAATACGCCGGTGAGAATTTTATTTACGAATAAAATGCGATTTTATTTTGTCAAATGAAATAAACAAAGTTTTCATTTTCAATCTGGTTGGTGTATTGTTCTTGTAAATATGCAAACTCATGCAGAACATGTTGCACACGTGAAAGAGCCTAAATTACACCGGCACATAGAGAGACGCCAGCAAAATTGGAGTGCCGTTGATAACGTCCATGCAGTCGAGAATCATTTTTATGCGTCTGATTTGTCGGAAATATGAGAGGAGTAGATGACAATAAAAATATTTTTTCAAATTATCTTTCTAATTTATCATGACATTGTAAAAAAAATCAAATTAAACTGCACAAGCAGAATACTTGGAATAATAAGTATTTAACGTATATATTTTATAATATTTATTGCAAAATTTTAAGTTTTATTTGATCTAACAGTTTTTCTCTTTTTAATTTCGTTTTCTAAAAAAGGTTTAATTACTGTGTTTATCACGAGCTTTATTTAAGTAATTTATGATATTAAAGAACCATTTCATATAGCAAGGAAAACGTTCAGTCACTTATCAAGAAGTCGAGTTTCAAACATATATCATACAGAAAAGGACAGAAAGGAAAGCCTTATTGAAGGAAATTTCGATATGATACATAAATAGAGAAATATTATCATATGACATAAACCTCTTGTACACACATTATAGAGAGATTTTGTGATCAATACGCAGATAATATATAAATATATCTGTATGATGGATAATAATTAATATTACATGTAAATATTGAACAAACAAATGAATTATTCTAAAATTATTATAAAATATGGAACTGTATCAAAAACAGAAAACAGAAATTAGAAACTCGCGTTGAAATCACGCGAAATGAAAGATACATACCATAATTGAAGAGAAGGTAAAGGAAGCTAAAAAGGGTTCTGTTTAGAAGGTTCTGCTGTTATAATTTGTACTCAGAGAAAAATAGTGGAACAACCATAAAAGCGAGAACTAATAAACTGTATGTTTGTATGTACACTGAAAGAAATGTTTGGGATTAATTGGAATTCTGATTGAAAATGGACGAATCAGAAGATTCTAATTATCGATATACTCAGAATCTTTCGGTTTATCAATTCCACGTGAAATGTGTTTTTAATACAAATTTTCCAACTGTGTACAAAACTTGTATAATTGTTGTCTTTAGTTTTATCATCGTTATACTGAAAGAAAAGATTGGCTGAATATGGCATAGCATTTTTAATTGGCTACTGCAGCCAATTAAAAATGCGATACCATATTTTACCATCTAATTTACTGCAGCAGCCAATCTTTTCTTTCAATGTATGTCTATTTCTATGAGTGTAAAGCAGACTCTCATTATGCACTTCAAGTTGAATATCGTCAATGTTGTGACAAAAGGGTAAGCGTTAATGAGAGGCGAAGGATAATGGAAATGGAGAGAGAAATCGAAATTTGAAATAGATCATCGCAAACAATAAGAATTATGTGTATGTATTTACATGTTGCGCGAGTAAAGATTCACCTCGAGATCCATGGTGGTGTGCCGTGAGGGCGGAGTGCCGTACTGGCCGTGTGGTGGCGGCAAATGATGCGGATGAAGGGGGTGCAGCTGCTGCGCCGCGTTGAATTGTTGATGATGAAGAGAGGGTTGATGATCGCCACCGAGGGTGTGCCTCCTCGGCTCGTCCCTCGAGCGGCCGCTTCCGGAGGAGCTGCGGCCCCCCGAGCCACCCC